GGCCTTCATTTTATCAAATATATTGTCATCTTTTTCACAAAGCAGGAAAAGTGATGTCCTGTAGAGTTGGGTCCGTCTGTTCAAGAAATATAAAGAAAAATATCCTTTTATATTTGTTTAGGTAGTGAGGTGATGCAGGCAGTAAGAAAAAATTATGAGGAGTGCTTTGTGGACTGAGGACACATCCTGATAAATGCAACTTCTAGACAAAGACAAGATGAGGAGAGAGATTTAAATGGAATATTGCGTTTTTCAGAACTCTTTGAAGATGATATTTAGGGTTAGATAGTTTTCTTAAAGAGACACCAGTGAAGATCTCACTACCTTTTGGCTTTGTGAACACTTTTTATGTGTACGTTCATCTCCTGTTGCTTTTAGCTAGCATTTTGTATCAGGGCTTGGAAACAAAACACACTGGTGGAGTACATTACTTCCTGGGCACTTTAATTATTCCACAGAAAAGGCAGCTTTAAAGGAAATACCCAATGTTCTCATGAAATTGCAGGAGAATATTTCTAGAGCTAAAAATCCCCCCCATTTATGTGGCCTTTTGCCAAGAGGAGAGTAAGTAGAACTGCCTGGTAAATAGACCCCTTTTGTTCCAGCACTCACCCAGGGGCACAGCCCTTGCCACCGACAATGAACACGTGAGTGTCAGGAGCTAGTGACAGACACCGAGGTCTTTATCCCTTTCTCTGGGGGGTGATGAAGTTGAGGGAGGTGGCCAAGAGGGAAGATGACGACGGTTAGATAGAGGGCTGCAAGTATCACAGCTCCCCTAGCCTGTGCGTAACTTTTAGACCAAACCACGATGGGGTGCAGTCCAACTTCAGCAAAGAGGATGTCTGAAGGCAAAGGCACCCTGAAAGCTTCCTGTACCCCTTCCCACCAGAGAAGACTGACTGACTTCCCATGTTCCTTGGACTCCCACAGAATAAGAGCAGGTTCAGCTTTAGTCAGGAAAGAACACTCAGCAGTGTCCGGAGATAATTATAATTTTACATTTATAATGGCAATTTTATTTTTCTGCTTTTTAGAAGCAAAATATTATCCTGCTTCTCTAGTACTCTATTTACAAAGAAGGATGATATACAAAGATGATTTGTACACAAGAGACTCCTCCACTGCAGGTTCTTTCCAGCCTGTGAGGTGTTTGGTTGTTATGAGGTACATGGAGGGTGCTACTACGGCGTGTATCCCGCTGCTCTGAGCAGCTGTGCTCACCCACCTGCCTTCCTGCACCTCCACTGGGGAAAGATGAGTTGTGAAAATGACACCAATGCACCCCATCTAAGTACAGGGTGAGAAACATTTTACCTATAAACCTCTCATATTTGGGCTTTCCTACCAATAAAAAAAAAAAAAAAAAGTTTTAAAGTAATCACCTGACTTATTTCTGTGGATTCTCCAGTTTCCTGAAATGCAGTGTATAAACCAGAGGGCTGTACTTCATTTTAGACAGTTGTAGCATCATGAAGAAATTGTGAAGTTCAGTTGCACTGTGTCTTTTAAATTATACTTGTGTCTCTTCCTTATTGCCAGTTTTAGTCTGTCTCCATTTGTATCATATGGGTCTGGACTGGTTGTGAAAGGGCTGGACAGAAACACTGTATTGACTTTGCTAAGGTTTCTTCTGACACCTGTAATGGCAGCATTTATTCCCAGCTAGGGAGCGTGATAGTGAGGCCTCACAACATGTCAAAGTATGACAAGATCACTCAGTGCAAGAAGTATGGTACTGACAGCTTTACAGACAACTTAAAAAACTACTGTGATGTGTCCAAGGGTTCAAACAACCAGGGATCTGATTTCCAAATACACAGCTGTCCTGGCTTCGGCCAGGATAGGGTTAATCTTCACAAGAGGCTGTAGCTGGGTGGGCTCACAGCCAGGATAAACAGCCAAACCAGCCAGTGGGGCATTTGATACCTGCTGATGTCATGTCCTCTATACAAGAGGAGGGCCCGAGCCCCTCCGCTCTCTTTGTTGGGGAGTGGTGATAGCTTGTGGCTGGAGCAGGGAGAGCTGTGCCTTAGGTAAGGGGTTTATTAACTCTTGCTTTATATATTATTTCACTGGTGTTATTGTTGTCTGTCTCCTCTTTGTGTTGCTCTATTAAACTGTCCTTATCTCAACCCACAGGCTTTTTGTTTTCTTTCTCCCAATCTCCCTCCCCTGACATGTGGCAGGGGAGATGGTGGTGGTGGGAGCAGTGGCTGCTGCTGTTTAGCTGCCAGCTAAGCCATGACCACAGTTCTTTTTTTTCACACAACCTTTGATGTACAGTATTATTTCCACATCTGTTAGTAAGTTCTTGCTCCTTCAGAAAACCTGTAAATAAACCTAGTTGCAAATACATTCTTAGTGCGTCTCCTTAAGCTGAAGGAAGGCAGCCATACACATTAACCTCACTGGCCAATTCTTGCTATTCTACCACAAGCCTGACATAGAATTTCACATACCTGGAATAACATCATCATGTGAGGTCATCATCTCTTCCTTCCCAGAAAGTTTCAAGTCTTGACAGTCTCTTTCTTTGGTGCAAACAAGGCTCTAAAACAAGAGAAAAGTAAACCTAACAGCTAGTCCCTCTGCTGCACCTATACAATTTACTATGACAAAATGTTTAATACATCTTCCTTCAGCAGTTTGAATGAACATTTAAAATGAGTTTTAGGTACCTTGATATGGCAGAAACTCATAAAGGAAGGACAAAAATAGTATTACATTTTCTAGTTTATACTGTGTATTTTTTGTATAGTTTTGCTTTGTAAAAGGTGAAAAATTATTACATTTTCATCATGGTATAGTATGGGCTTAAAACTAGTAATCTTAGTATTAGATTATAAACTTATATAGCTTGCAGTACTTGTGATGTGCTCTGACAAACATGCTCTGTCCTGCATTCAAGACAAAACTTGCAGAGGTGGTTTTCAGTAACCACCATGGTATGAGAGATGTTTACACCAACTGGACCCAAGTGGTGGGAGGTAGATGAGGCATGTAATGCTGGGTCAGTGCTGCAGCAGGTTACAATGGCACAATGAGGGACTCAGATCTACAGATAGATATATTTTATGGAGTTATAAATCAGTTAGGTTGGTTTGCAAATTTGTTCCGAAACAAAAGTTTTGGGAAGTGCAATGCTAAGAAATGGGAAGAGTCTTATGCATGAGTCAGGAGGTGATACTGACTTTACAGGTTACAAGAAAATAACAGGAGGAACAATGGGAGACTAATGCTTTCGTTATTTAAAGACACTTTTCCAGGTGGACATCGTGGACATTAAGGATGTCAGTAGCTGCAGGTAAAAATAAAAGCTGATCAATTACTTCATGATGATGATGTCAAGTACCACAATAATTTCTCATATTGCGATAGGGAACCACAGACACAGTAGGGACCCACCACCATGGGCTTCATCACTTTTGACTAGGTGTAAAATTGTGAGCTGGTTAGTCTGGGCAGGCATCCACTGAGGGATGAAAGCAGGCAGACAAATGTCTAACTCTGCTGAAACTAATGGATAAGAAATCATGTTGTCCAACCTCCACTGATGTACAAAGCTTTGTGAGAACCCCTTTGGCCTGCACAGTGGAAGTCAGTCGGTTATATGTATACAGTGCAGAAAGAAACTCCCAAATCCCTTCCAGCTTAACACAGATGGACACTGGTGGCCACTCCAAAGTAACAGCGTGTGGGTGTTACTTGGCCCTGCTCCCAGAGCCAGGATGAACGCCGTGATTCCTCTTCTCTGAATGCTTTCAAACAATTTGGAGATCTGACTGCAGTCAAGGTTGGAGTGGTTAATACAAAGCAAAGTCACCCAGGTCCAATGAAAGTATTGTTTTGTTGTTGTGATTATGCAAATGAGATTACTAGGAGACAGATGAACAGGATAGTTAAAGTCCAGAAAGTATTACTACAGGTCTGTATATCACTTGTGGCATTGTATGAGGCAATATTGTATGAAATTTAGCACAATACAAAGGCACCATTAAGTGAACTCACAACGAGGGCTGACAGCTGAACATCAGTGTATGCTTAATGTAGGGACTATTCACTGGTGAACTCAAAAGCTCATAACATACAGTAGGTATTGTAGGGATGTATAATGCACAGAAAAATGCACTAGTTGATGTTTAAGAAAGTGGTTAAATGTAGAAGCTAAAGATTGAAAGTTTTTGATTGTTGCTGCTTGACAGATCAGCACAACTGAGCCTGATGACTAACACACAGGGCTGTGCCTGCTATCAGCCATGCTGCACCAAGGAAGAAACCCAGGTGAGCTTTTGAGTGTGGGCAAACCTACATGAATCGGATTCCCAGATTTAGATTAGTTAAGAGAAACACTGGGCAGCACTGAGCAGCTAAACACTGGAGCAGTATGACAAATGCTGGGAGAGCAGACAGTATTGCTGTTCTGTGTGCTATAAATTATTTAGATGATGCCAATAATGAAACCTCTGTCTTCAGTCACTTGTCATGGGTGTTTGTCTCCATTCCTATCCTTACGTGCTTTTGGGCTAGATCTCCTTTGCATCACTAACATATATTCTTTGTTCACCTTTTATCTACAAAGGTACCCAGAATGAAAACAGTGAGTTCACCTACATTAAAATACCACTTTCTTTATTGCAGTGCTAGTGGGAAATCCAGGTGAAGAAAGACAAAACTCCACATCCAAACTTAAAAACCTTGGAAGACTGCATTTTTGGGTGTCCATAAGTAATATCCAGCATTAATTTTTTATTATGAGCCATTATTTTCCTATGGCAAAAGTATTTGCTGTAAGTGATGCCTCTACTGTTCCACTGGCTTAATTTCAAATCCTGTATCTGTTATGAAAGATCTTAATGGATGCCCTGAGAGTCTACTTCCAGTAGCACAACCCCACAGTTGCAAGATACAATCGAGAACACCAGACAATTTATATGTAGACTGGGTACATCACTATTATCCAATACTCAATGAGATGAGGCAGCAACTTTGATCACTGGCTATCTGTTGTCTTCTAAGATGATGGTTCTTCTAGGATAGGTGTCAACATCCACAAATATGTAGCTGACCTCAAATCTTCCTTGCTCAGGATTCTGCAATTAAAAAAAAAAAAAAAATCAGGCTGTTTTTTTCTCTTCAGCAGTTTAAATTCCAGACTAAACCTGTCAGTTTTTTCAAACAATTGCACCTACCTCTTTGACTTCCACGTGGACTGTTCCCCGCTTCCCTGTTTCAGAGCCCTCAATATAGAACTTCAGACGCATATGCTTCAGCCCATCCTTCACGTACTCAATGTGACTAAAAAGAGCAAAACAAAACCCCAACCCAACCAACAAGGATATGTATTACATGCTAGTTAAACTTCAGATTTAAACTTATTCAGAGGAGCTTGGTGAGAAAGAATATTCCAATGCAGTCCGTATCATACCTTGGGTTCCTTCTCTACTGCTCTTTCCAAGCTTTCCTGTGAGCATATGGTGACTAGTGGAGTTAGAACTAATTAGCAGTTGAGGATTAACAGATGAAGTGCTTAAACATCTTCACCCCAGTCCTCCCCTCAAAACTCAATGGCAATCCAATGGCTGAAGCTTCTGGAATTTCCTTGTATTTATTCTAAAGACCCTCCAGATTCAGAGCCTGACATCTAGAAAGTAACACCCACATCACCAAGACTGCCAGGGGTTGGGGTGGGTTTTTTTGATGCTTAAACTAACTTACCACACTGAAACATACACAGAACATTTTGTTAATTTATCAGCTTGGTTAAATCAGTCAGTTTACTACATACTTCATTTATTTTGGCAACAGTTTTGTTGTACTGAAGTTGTGTAACGTTAGCACTGGTACCATCTCACCAACCTGACTGCTAGCATATAGACTGGAATTAGGTTATGCTCAAGTATTAGACAAACAGAAAGGTCACATTACTTTCAAGGCAACCACTTCCAGAAACTAATGGTCAATCTGGAGTTCTGGTGCCAGTTTGTTTCCTGATGAAATGACTAACTGCTGCAGACTACCAAGCTCTTATCTCCATCAGTCATGCTCAGACACACACTGTGAGTTAAGCTTCCAACACAGTTTAAGGTGACATGATGGGTTACAGAGAACAGAGATGAATGAAGAGCCTTACTGCAGTAAATTCACATTCAGGGTGTTCATATACACAAAAAACCACATCTGTATGTTTTTGAGACATCTAAGGTTATTTTTATACTGCAGACACAAACTCTACAATCTTACAAAGTCCTCAGCTCAAAAAATTATTTAAAACACTAGACTTTCAAAATGATGGAACTGAAATGCCAGGGAAGCTGATAACACATTTACTTATTCACATAGTTTGTTTTACAGACAGATGCCTAACTTTAAACACTTTTTCACAGGATCTGGTGAAAAGATAAGATTCCACCAGTAAAAATTACCTTCCTCTGGAAAAAACTTTTCTCAATTTCATGGCTCAAGTTGTGTGTCTGGGCTCATGTGCCTGTCCTGTAAGAAACCTCCTTGAGTAAATTAAACTCAAAGAGCCTAATAAAGACACTGCCCCTGTTGGATTTGTCTTGGATTTAAATTTTTTAAGAATTAGTTTTTTCACTCAAAATAATAGACACACTCATGAAAGGTTTTGGTGAGAGATTTCTGTCAAACACACAGTAGAGATGTGGCCTCAAGTATCACAGAGCAATATAAGCAATGGGCAGTCAATACTGTGTATCAGTCTGGGACAAGATAATCACTGCACTGACCACAACCTCTACAGTCAGACCCAGCCCAGCTTTAAACAGAGTAAGCTGGGTTCTTGGAAGTCTGGAATTTAGCACTGTCTGCACTTTCTGGCCTGATAAAAACTACTGCTTCAAAAGGAGAAAAACTCTCAAAGAAAAAATTTTCAAAGAAAATTTCATTCTATTTGAAAGTTTCAGACTACAAACTTCAGTCAGATCCCTGCTCTCCAGACGTATGCCAAAGCCTCCCTTCAAACTTCTCCTGCTTTTCAGAGACCAGCTCTGTGTTTACTGTGCTGACCATTGCTTGTACTGAGGCACTGAGAAATGGCATTTTACATGGTTTATGCACTGCACTTAGTGGCATGTGCCACACAAGAGGTACTGCAAAAAGCTGCTTTCATTTTCACTCAAAAGGGAGGAGGTATGTCACACACAGTTAATTAATCTAGATGTAACTGGTTATGATGTGACCCAAAATGTTTTTGATGTACAAAATCTATAGACTCTGTGTGGGGCAAAAGCCAAAGGGCACCTGACAAACTGCCGTCTTCCTCTTCTTGTTGGCTCCCCATAAGCTTTAATAGATTCCCCAAAAACACCAATTATCTACAAGAGAAAAGAGGTTTGAGTTGTCAGAAGGTATCACATTCAAACATATTCACTATCAGCTCATGCCCCTGCTGTGCATGCATTTGCTTTCACCAAAATGTCCCTTGTGAGTCTGATGTGCCAAGAGCAGAAGAGTTCATGAAAGAAAACAGTGTAAGGAAAAACTCTCTGTATTTCAGTGCTTTTCTGCAGTCATGTATTTAATGTCTAAATTAAACCCTACTATATCTTTCATTTGTACTGTTGTCCGAGATGATCTCTCTTCTTACTGTGTATTTTACACTTTTTCCTTTTTGATACAAAAAGGTCAGTAAAAAAGCATTCTCTCAGAATGTTTCAAAGTTTAAAATGAAAATGCAGTCCCCTTCACATTATCTAAAAACCACTATTGTTTAAGACTTTTTGTTTTCAGATCTATAAAACCAGACCAAATTGACCTAGTTTTAAACTGAGCTGGCTAGAAAGGGAGGGTGATTTTTACTGTGTAAGTACAGGAGAGAAGTTTTAATTCTACAAACTTGTTCCAAAGCAGTCTTCATTTTTATGCTAGTGATAGCTCGTCACTCCATTTCTAGGTTATCCTCAAGTGGCACCTGTGGCAACCTTGTTCAAAAGCTATTCCACAAAGTTCTTGTTTTGCCTGAAGCAGTGTTTTTTAGAATCTAGTTTTAGATGGATTTTTGTTTACATCTAGCTAGATGTGTGGCTGTGATCACATGACTGTTCTCTGTCTCTTTTCCTGTTAGCCACAGGAATGCACGC